TGGATTGACGATCGCATCGGTAAATTCATGAACTACTCAAAGGATCCGCAATTAGCCCACATCAAGATGACACAGTTATTCAACGTAGCCGTTTCTTTTTTGTTCGCTTTTGAAGAGATGGATGACGACAAATCCACACGAAGGGTGACAGCCACTGTGTTGAGCACAAGTGCTTTCCCGGTCCGTTTTCTTTTCAAATTGAACTCGAGCACAGATTCCGGGTGGAATTCGCATCGCACTGCTTTTCTGTGGATTATTGGTTCTGCTTCTGTTGTGAGCGCTCGAGTGGAAAGCATCGAATCTAACTTCCACGACGGCACCATTTCCATTCAACTCGTTGCACTACCACGCTTTCATCACTCTCTCATGCGAGCAATCAGTAGATACAGTTGGGAAGAGAATGGCAGCTTGTTTGTTGAAATGTGCGTCAAATTGGATCGCCTTTCTGGTGCGACAGTCCCTGTACTCGAGATCCTCTCGCAATACAAACTTTTTGATAACATTTCAAGAAATGCCAAATGTCAAGCTGCGCAGGTACTTGATGCCGTCTACAATAATTTTTCTCAACATAAGTTTGTCGATGTCCGATTGCCCGATGAGCGAAGAGAGGACCGAATTTCCCTTAATGGCAAATTATTCCAGCTTCATCCTGATCAAATAGCTTCTATTCGGCTTGGATGTGGAAATCATCCCATTGCAGCAATTCAAGGTGGGTATGGAACTGGAAAGACTTTAGTTGCTGCCCTAATAGCTGCAAGAGGTGCAAGCCAACGCAAAGGTTTTGTTGTCGTTCTTGCAGTATCGAATGGTGCCGTAGCACAAATTACTAACACCATCTTGAGACTCGATCAATACAAAGACCTATCAGTGCTACGCTACGTGCACGAAACTCCATGTTCCGAAAAGATTTTCTCAACCGATGTAGATATGAATAACATTCTTAAACGCCTTCCTGATGACTATGCCGAGCATTTATCGCCGGAGGACCTGAGAATCTGCTTAAGATTCAAAGAGAGAAGTGAACTTCTCGAAAAGTACTCAAATGTATCGGAAAACGCCTTATTGCCATCCACAAATGAACAGAAGGGTTGCAGTCTAGCAGCGAAAGAGTTGGTCAACGATGAGCAAACCGTTTTTCAGCTCATGTTTGCCTTGCGGACGCCAAATATAATATGTATGACAGTGTCAGCCCTTCTGGGAGCCACAAAAGAGAAGGGCATGATTTATAATTATCTACAAGAGTGTCACACCGTCATCGGTGACAATGCTTCACACATTCCTGAGCCGGATTTCGTGGCTATTGCAAATTTCTTGTACAACGCCCGACATGTCTACGTTGGGGACACACACCAGCTCAGACCTCATACACCCTGTGATCACGATTCTCTTCCAGTAACACTTGGTGCACGAGGATTGATGGAACTTCTAATTGAAAAACATATCCCAACTACTTCCATGTTCACAACGTTCAGATCTCATCCAGAGCTGGCCGAGCTTCCTAATGAAGTCTTCTACGACTATGCACTCATTGACGGCATTTCCGGACATGAACGGCGTTTGTTCCTCGACCATATCCGTTGCGACAAATCAGATTTACCGTTTCTTTTTGTGGACATTCCTGACCGGTCACCTCTTCCGCAAGGTGGATCACTTTTTAATAACGACGAATTAAAAAGCTGTTGTTATATTGTCACATCTTTACTAGAAAGAGGAATCCTTCCTGAATCCTTAGTAATTCTCGCTTTTTACAACGAACAGACTCAGAGGCTCCGGCAGTTTGCTAAAAACCATTCCGTCGATCTGTTCAGAGTGGGTGCATACCAAAGCCTTGAGAAAGATATTGTCATCTTGCTCACTTCATGGTATTCTCCTGACGATGAAGTCAACGTTGACGACTTCCTCAACGACAGTCATCGTATCAACGTCGCTTTGACACGATGCCGCCATGGGCAGTTTGTCCTTGGTAGCAAGAGATTCCTTAGCACGCTCAGCAATTGGGCCCCGGTTATCCGATGGGCCAGGCTTCGGAATGCTCTGATCGACGGAGATGATTTACCACGTGTTCTCGCATGATCCTCCCATCTTCTACCAGGGTTTTTGTGAGTGTTTTTTTTGCATATTTTTTGATTAAACAACACTGAGGGCTTCTTCGTTCAGGGATTTCTGTACTTAACAATCTTGACTACTTGCACAAAAATTGCTTTACTCATCGTTGCCGCAATATTGTATACCTCTAGGTTTGTCATTTACATTTCTTCCCTGCCACCAACCGAATCAATTAATAATATTAATTAATTAATACTCTATTAAATAATTGAATTCAGAAAGATGCGCTAATTCACGGAAAGAAGAAGATGGAGTCGTTAGTCGTATTGGTCTTTAGGGATTCAAAGCATAGTGATTACCAGTAGATTTTGGATCTCTTATGCGAAGTTTGTCGAAGAACTGTCGTTCAACTCTCAGTCAGTTTAAGTTTCATACATTTTACCAGCACTATCAGAAAGCAACAATATTGAAATGCGGTGTACCAGCTGTGCCAACACTCATCCAACCACACCGTTTTTGCAGATTTATTAAGGACTGAGAAGCGGGATCTCGACACACTGAGCTTTTCAATATATCACGGTGTAGCAACTGCTCTATGAGTATACAATCCATTACCTCATTACTCCATGAATTTATATGAGGATTTTTCATAACAACCGAAGTTCAGAAGCTCTAAGCTTGCTCTGTTGGATTGACTTTATGTTACTAATAGTACGTTAAATACACATACAATTTTAGAAGTGCACAGTTAAACTATTCCGTTTTTGGGACGAAAACCAGTCCAAAAGCTTTTCCAGTCCAACGTTATATCCCTAAAGAGACAGTCAAATGGATCCTACCGAAACGGTTAATTAGAATCAGGGCGATGAGTGCATTACTATTCACATCGGTTGGCCCCTGGGAGTTATTATGGAAGCCAAATATGCGTCCAAGCGCCAATATAATTCAAAGTGGGTGTCGTATGTGGAGGAAGGGAGAAGCTAAACGAACCCTTACTTCCAATGAAGCCAAGCAGTCGGTGGTATAAACCAATTGATGTGATGGAATTAGCTACCGAGGTGGTAATAGGATATAAACAAGGAAAAACATCACAACATAGTTGATGTCTTCAGAAGGTCTTTCAAATGCTAAGGTAGACCCTTACGGCTTTTCCAGAGTCCGCCGGCCGGTCCTGCGAGCGAGCGCGTGCGTGCCGGCAGGTAAGCACGCGCTCGCCGGCTTTTGTTGACAACATTGGCACGTGATCCATCGGTGTCCAGTGTTTTCAACAAGTGCCTAGCGCCGCCGTCGGCTGGCGCGCGCTTGTAAGGCCACCCGGCGGACTCTGAAAGCAGCCTATTAAAGCCTTCACATTCGGAGTTAAAAGGTGTTATCAAAAAAAAACATTTGTTTTCTGAATACGATAACAATACTTCGAAATGTGCTTAATGCTAGCTAATTCTCTCAATCTTAAATCAGACCTTCAGTAATATGGAGTGTTGCGCTTGGTAAAACTATCGGAAATGCTATCAGAATTTAAAAAAAGCCCGAACTTTGGTAAAATAGGATGTAGCGTCACAAGAATTTCCGATGTCAGACGTTCGAATAAGGTAGAACTGAGAGTAAATTCAGTCACTTTCTTCAATTAACTGAACCGCAGATTTCGGGGGAAAGTCACGTATCACAGCTTCAAATTCAAATTGCTTATATAAAAACTGTACCCCTTACTGGATGGAAGTAATGTTTTTAGTGGTTATTCTGTTTCTACCTGCCGAGATTTTACAAGAAAATGCGCTTAGCGCTACCAGCGAGATCAAGTCCTACCCCGATGAAACTGGATTCCCTTTCTTTCAGAGTAGCGATGCTAGCCCCAGTGCGAACCGTCAATCCAATCTTGTTCACGTTCGACACTCTGAGAAGAAGTAATAGCAATATATATTATAGAATTGTGCATAAATCATTCTCATCATTTCCTTGACTACACATAATCTTACTAGCAAAACGTGGAAATGTTTCTGTCTAAGGGGATCACATGTAGAAAGTGTCAAGCCAGACAGTCCACAGTTGAACGGACTAGGTTCCTTTCTTCGTAACAGGCGCAGAGCCAACCCTGTATTTGAGAAAATGTCGCAAAGGATGAAGTTTATAAGGGAGCGACGGGGCGATACGTCTTACAAAAGGTCCGTTATGTTCCCATTCATCGTTCAGTACGCGAGTATCTAGTTCAACTGAAATTAATCATTACCAAATCCCTTATCTCTTGCTGCGTAAATAGCGGCAATATGGCGATAAACGCGCTGTTGTGCAGTGCCCAAAAATAATCGAACTACTGCGATTACAAATGGACATGAGGCGTTAAATTCATCGATATTGAGCCTATTACAAATTTCGAAATTCACGGATAACCCAGCCTTTAGCTTATCTCTTGAAGTTAGATTGCACACAACAGCAAGACATTTGCTTACCTGCTGCAATATAATTTCGTTGCCATTTCTGCCAGTTTGAACTGATTCCATTGAAAATCCGATAAAGGCTTACCAAACTGCTTCCGTACCTAAGCAGCTTAATAGAGGAAGATAAATTGAAATTCACAGAAGCGCTAGTACCTTTAAATGGTCGACTGCTAGGTCAAGGCTTTGTTGGGCAGCCCCTAATGAGCAACTGGCAATGTTCACTCTGCCACCATTGATGCCAGCCATGGCAATATTGAAGCCGTAATTGTCAGGTCCTATTCGGTTTGATACAGGTACCTTAACAGAAAAGTTATTGTACTGATCTGTCAGTGAATCTTTGTACCGTCACGCACCTTAACATCCTCAAAGGTAATAATACGGGTGGGCTGGGTATTCCAGCCAAGTTTGCTCTCTTTTTTGGCCTGTGAAAACCCTTCCATACCATCTTCGATCAGTAGGCAGAAAATGCCCTTTGCACCAGGTTGGCCTTCGTGTCGTACCATAACCACATATCTGATATGGAATCCTTGGGGTAAAGGTTTTAACTTTGAAATTCAATTTTAATTTCATGCTCTACAATTCCATTCTATAGCGATCTGATTGAAAACGAAGAGGCTTACATTTTTGATGAGCCAGCTCCACTTATAAAAGCTTTGGATCCATTGACCACGTAATAGTCGCCTTCACGTCTAGCTGTTGTGCGGAGACTCGCAGCATCGGACCCTGTAACCTTCATAACATGAGGGAGCTATTGTATTTGCACATGACCTTCTGAGTTTTGGTTGTCTTAATCTCGAACGCGATTATATCGCAAGTAAGTAGTAACTGCTCTCAGCAAAGGATAATTACTCGGAGGTCAGTACTAAAAGGCGACAGCGAACTACCTATATAAATACTCCTTACAATTAGTACCCAAAAAGTCCTGTCGAGCTTAGCATCAATGTAATGATGACTATGTTTCAAGGGCAGTATACTCCATGAGAAAAGATAAGAAAGAAGTGCATTGTAGGGATAGTGGCCAAGTGGATAACGATTCTGAGAGGTTTCCAGGAGAAAGGTGTGATAGTAGAAAGTTAAACTGCTCAGAAAAGCATGTTCGACAGTGCTTCGTTTCTCAATAGGTTGGTTGGGATATGACTACTCTCACATCTATTTTTCATCAACACAAAACTAGGGCATACATCACCTATGAAAACCAGTCTAAATGCTTACCTGAATCCGGCTCTGTCAGGCAATATGACGACAAGTTCTCGAAAGTCGCCATAGTAGGAATGTGTTTTTCTCGGAGCTCTTTTGATCCATAGGTATCAATCATCCAGGCACACCTGTACATATTCAACTTGTAAAGGCCACATTAACCCATTGACGACCATGACCTTTTGCGGGAAAACCGCCGCGAGGGACCAGCGCGCTTTTCGTCCACTCTCATGGTCCAGCATGACCATTTTTTTGGAGTTTATAAGAGATATTTATAAGTTTTCGAAATGTTCCTTCGAATGGATCTGAAAAGAATGCCCACACTGAGTGATTATTGATCTTACTTATAGAACCGGCACTCTGTCTAGTGGTCATTCAATTATGAGTTCAGTCATTACCAGTAATCGTTTTGGGGGATCTTTCACGAGCTCTGCATCTGGTCGATGACAGACAAAATGCTAATGACGATCGTCTTTTCGAAAAATCTCATTTTTGAAGTTGTTCAACGAACGAAAAATTCACCAAGGTAATGTACTCCTTCGAAAAAACGCCTTTACCTTTGCAAAATCAGAAAATTTTCCAGGATCACGCTTTATGTAGTTTCATTTAGACCTGATGTGATGTTTTGAAAAGAAAAACTGCAAAAAAATGGAAATATAGATGAATAAAACAAAAAATACAACTGCAGTCCACATGTGGACTGCATAGTCGTCAATGGGTTAAGTAGGTTGCTAGTGAAATGTAGGCGCTAGAACACCATTATTGTAGTTTCAATGATCTTGTTGAAACTTCAGTATTTCATTTTCTTAGCAGTGAGAGTTCGCAAGATTATATCATCAAAATTACCAGATAAAGTACAGTTCAGTCACCTATAGGAGTGTTGAGTTTATCACCGTGCACTTGTGATTATATAATTTTGTTAATGATGTTGAACGCCTGACAAATTTGCAGCACCTTCAAAGTGTTACTCACTTAATCGCTCAGGTGACGAGAAATCCAAGCTCAAATCTTAGAAGGAGAACCATTGCATAAATTTCCTTGGGTTCAATCATCTACCGAAACAACACCGAAGAATTTTAAGAAAAGTTTCTTTTTCATAGAGAAATAATGGTGTTTCTAGTGTAACGGGAACGGTCTAATACACATGCATGGTCCGGGGATCGAATCGCCTATACTCGCCCAAGCCGACCGGTACAGCCTTTCATCTCTACGGCGTCGGTTACTTTGCTCCTGACCCGTCTATAACTAGCGTCTATGAGGATTAAAACACTGACTTGTGCATCAAGGCCACCACAAGTGATAGGGTAGGTCAAATACGTATTTAATACGCCACTACGATTCTGAATGAAAGTCGAATGCGAAAGGAAGAGGAGTGGGGGGGGGGGGGGGGGGGGGGGGGGGGGGAGCATCCCAAAAACGGAACTATTAACACCGAAGACTTACCCTACATAGACAAATACTCGACTGAGAAAAGTACTAGATAAAAGAAAAAGGGATCATAAGAAGAATAAACTCTGATAAAAAACCCACATGTTGTGAATACTCATGTAAGCCGCGGTGGACACACAACCTGCTGCGAGCTGCTCATAAATTACTGATGCATGTAAACGACTCATTCCAGAGCCCCCAAATTCATCAGAACAATATATGGCACCAAAACCTAATTCTCCGGCATGACGTAACGTTTCCACGGGGAAATATTCCTAAAAAAGTACGGTGTAGAAACTGATCCTAATTTGATATCCTCTCTTATTTTGGAAGAATTTCGGGTCGAAGAACGCTAGCTCAGAGCAAGCAGATAAATGGAGCGAGCTTACTTTATAGAAAACGAGACTGCTAACCTCTCTGTCCCATTTGGCCATGTTCGGATACATTTCTTTTTGAGCAAAATCGCGTGCCACCTTTTGTACCTCCACCAAGTCAGCATCGAGCCCAAGCGTAGCTGTAACGTTTGCTGTTTTACATGATGATAGGGGATTCTGTTCGTTCTTTGACTACGCTCTCCTTGGTTCAAATCTCAGGTCTTTTCTCTTTTTTAACTTCAAGGTCGTGTTCATTCTAAACCAGTTGTCAAGTGCGTGTCGCCTTTAAGTTTGAAAATAGCATGAGATATGACTCTCAGAGCACCGCCTCTCAGCGACGCTGTACTAACTGCACTCCTTATCATTTTTCTACGAGTCAGAAAAAACCAGATCAGTTTCTCGCTTGTTGTTCTTCATGTTACCCATAGAAAGATAATTTATAAAGCTCAATACTCAGAATCGTGCCAATAAAAGGTTGAATAAATAGATAGAAAACAAAGACTACTAAATACAACTGCCAAATAAAGAAACACTGAGAACAGGGAAAAATTAGCAACAATTTTAATGTTGCCTATTCAATATATGCCTATTCATATGGTCATATGCAATGCGGAGGGTATAACACTCAGCACATCTACCCATTCCTACCGGATACGATAATCTAACTACACCACTCAAAAAGGGGTTAACGGGCAGTCAGTTTTTCTTCATACTCCCATCAGTCCATTTATTTACAGCGGCGACGACTCTAAACGCAAATTTTTCCCCTGATGAACTTCATGCAGAACTTGCGTACCAAAACTGGTAGATCGCCACTTTTGATGAAATGCAGCTCCCGCCACACTTCTGCCCTTTCAGATGTGACAAAAAGGTGTGGTATACTAAGAAAAAAAAANAAAAAAAAACGCTCCCACAAATCCAACCGCTGAAGTATACCGGACCTTTGCAACAAAGGAAGAGATTCATAAACGTTAACTATGTTCATGTCCAATGACGAGATCAAACGAAGATATTTTGCATGACAGTTTCATACAAGAGCAATAATGGTCTTATTGCATCAATTCTTCAAATAGTTTCTCTAGGTGTTCAACTGATTATAATCCGAACAATCTTGTTGAAGGGGTTACTGATCGAACTCAGCAAGATCATTTTAAAAAAGCTGTTCATCGGCAGCTGCAGAGCATGGGGCAGCAGGACAGGTTCCACGTGGTTGACAAACCACGCGGGGTGTGTTAATGTAAACGTGCAAAAGTGATTGATGACTCTTCTACGTGTAAAATCGCTTGGTTTCTACAGTCTTTCAAATTTCCATTTTCATATAATCTATTATCGTTATTGCGTGAATATATCTAGAAACATATTATCTACCTGAACCTCGTTAGCTAAGGGATAATTTTGTAGAATAAACGTTCAAATCTAGTATTAAAATTAATTAATTCAGAGCTGTAAAGAACATCATTAATGAGATCAATACCAAAGAACGGTTCAGAAAGAATATACAATTAGGAGTCTATGTCAGGTCAGGTAGTGTTGAGATTAGGGGTTGACCCGTTTGGGAAAGTTAAAGCTGCACGCGGTACACACATAAGGAAGCGCAGCCCCACACATTTCTACCCTATGGAAGCATTTTCATGCAGCTTAAGTTATCTGTAACCTGTTCTAAGCTACAAAAAACAGCGCCTCAGCATTGTTAACAATGAAACCACTAGAGGAACAGCTAGAGGAAATTCGAGAAAATGCGATGAACAAGGGAAACAGTAATCGTGATGATCACTTCACACGACTTTGGCCTACCGCTTATTATTCGTATTCTCGACATTACTCATCATTATATCATTAGCAAAGGCACTGAACTGGCTTGTTGAATTGGATCAGGATAAAATGCTCCTCATAATAAACAATTTAAACATCAAATCCTACGCCAAAAAGTTGAAATAAAAATCTAAGAAAAAAAGGAGTAGGAAAACCAACGGTCGACACAGTAGAGATGACTGTTCCGTTTGAAAATGCGCAGTAAACTGGAAGAAAAACTGCGAAAATTCCGCGTAATCATCTGAAAACCAAAATCTAAAGCTATGGGTTAGTCATCCTATGAAATTGGGTTTAATCCGACTTTCTCTTTGGCTACTAACCGAGAGAGAGAAGAAAATTCGGCTTTCGCTTGTCTCAGTAGGTCTAAAAAATGCTCAAATATCCACAACGAGTCAACAAAATTTTAGATGAAAAATGGATCACAACGGAACGCTGACCTATGAAGTACTAGGTAGTTTCCATGATGAACTTTGATGTCACGTGGAATTTACGCACTCTTTATCACAAATGATCGCACTCCGCATAGTGGATGACGACGAAACGCAATGTGTACGGCGAAAGAGAGAGCGTAAGACAAACAGTTGGTAAGAGCGAAGAACAATTGCAAGATAGCAGGTGAGTAGTCCCTGATTTCATCTCCATGATTCCAATAACACAATTGGAGAAGGCTTTCATAAATCTTCATTAATACTTTTAACTGTATTGAAGCAACATTACACACGTATTTATTATATAATCCTGTCAAGTCACCGCAATAAATGGAGCTTCTTAGTGACGTGCCGCAACTGAAACTTGGAGATCCGCAGAGAGGCAGGAATTCTTCATGACGCACAAGCACTGACTATCTCCGCTTCCGCTAACCGTGTTAGCAAAAGAAGTTTGAGAGATCGCATCTGAAAAAAAAACGATAAGCATCTAAAAACATTGAAATTCAAAAGTTTCGAAGTGTTTTAACATACCGTCTCCTCAGACGTTTCGTCGTCTTTATCCGTATTGTCTATAGTATATTGTCGGAAAAACGAGATCAACTCGTAGATGCTTTCAGCAGGGATTTGGACCTGAACATTCACTTAATGCAGGATATTACCTAGACAGGGGGTGAAAAACAACAGTATCAACCTGTGGTGTATCAGCGAGTATTAACATGAGATATCCGAAGAGTACTTTATGGAAAGATTGCGGCACATTTGGTGACGTGATCAGTGAAACAAGCAGCTGTAAAGGGGAACATAGAAAAGGGTACGATGTTCAATGAGTAATTTACTGTCGTGATTATTAATTTTCATTCCCATATACTCACGTTTCATTTCGTTTACTTGCGTTTACTGTCATTTACGTTACTGATTCGAAAGTTTAGAGAACTATCTGTTCTTTCGTATCTTGAAGGAGATACCGCTTTGAATTCAGAAAAGATTTTAGCAAATTCATTATTACGAAACCAGCTATGACAGCCAATAAACAAAAATGACTCGAAACTCACTGGTGCATCAGAACGCACATCACCGGCACTGAGTGATTTATGGAACCGACAGTAATTAAACAGGAATGCAAGAGATGGTGATCCGAGTTCCGCCACGTAGTCGGCCATGTGATCCAATATGCTCAACGAAGCTATTTCGCTCTTATCAGCATGCCATACTATCCTAAAAACCTAAGTTTTAATAAATGCTATTAAAATGGTAGATAAGGAAAATACGATAATTTTTCCACTGCGCTGCTGAAGCACTGAACATCCAAGTTTGAAATTATCTTCTCAATGGTTTACGCAAATTTCCATGTATTAGATCAAAATGTTCAGGAGTATGCTGACGACTAATGTTGCAGCAAAGGAGTGAAGATGCTGGAAATTGGGATTCAATCACAGTTCAAAAAACATTACCAACCTATTGACGGTAGCATCCAAAGCAGGTCCACGTCCTCCTCGCAACGCCCAAGACAGAGCTGCGCTCCATTCTCCATCACGTAGATACCTATCATCAACACTTGCTTTGGCAAATTCGAAAAAGTCCAAATATACATACAAAAAGCTTACCTATAGGTCATGGTGTTTACAATGCATGCTTTAGAGTCGTCTAGCTCCTGCTCTACACAAATCCGCATGAGCTAAAAGTTATGTGATAATTAGGACGAAACAGCAACAATGAATCTTACTGATCAAGGTTACATTTTCAGCCATCTCGTCGTCTTGGATATACATAGCTTCAATGTGACTCTCCAGGCGCAGTCGACCCTCTGACCCACAATGCAGCAAGTAGTCCGCACCGACCTCCCACAAGCTGAAAACACTTTCGAATAATTACCTGTTGGGGACGAGTCTGATTAATAGAAGTCAGAGAAATTGCCATAACTATCAAATTAGCTATCGCTAATAAACATGTTCCGCGAAAAAACGTACAGGGACCCTCCAGTTATTTCCATACATGGCTCATGCCACAATTAAGGATTGGATTATGATTAAAACTCACCAACTGTTCTGAATCAAACCGGAACCATATTCCATCAATAGGAAGTCCCTGATTTCAACTAATGCTGGCAAAACGGCGTATTCTGAATCTGTGTGCAACAACGTGTCGATCAGATGAACGGACAACCAGGGATTCGATATGAGGTTCTTGAAAAAAAAAAGAATCAAAACCGGTTCGAAACAGAATTCATCCAAAAATGTGGGTATTACCTGTAACACTGATATATCTTTCATGCTCAAAATGGAAAGAAAAGGATCAAATTCTCCATCTTCAAAATTTTCCGTATTCTTGAACAGTTCGCGGCACTCCTTAAATCATACCAATTTGTTAACCTCGATTGAGTTCTACAATGTGACGTAAACAAGGTGAAAGACATTGATGGTAGGACTCACCAGAGCGAGAGGACCTAATTCATTATATGCAACAGTAGGATCTTTCACAAAAGTGTAAAATGGCATTAAATGCCACCACTCAGTAACCACAACCGAAGCAGCACGTTCCAAATTCTGAATAGCAAACTGTGAAAGGCCTTCGACTGAGTTAAGCTAAAGGTTTCATTACCTTCTGATCGCCATTCAGTAACTGTGCCAAGAAGAGAATATTGCGGTTGCTGTCAAAGGCGCCTGACGTGATCAATGAACCTAGCTCGTGTTTCCAACGCTCTAGCTTTGCGATCTACAAAAAAAAGAGGCCATGCGATCTACAAAAAGAAGGCTAGTGCAGAATATATTGTATAAATGACAAGCAATGGGAATCATTCAGCATTCTTCGGCTAAAACATCTACGAAGACGAAAAAATAAGAACACTGTTTTGTAGAACTATTCAGGTACCACGCATACGTCATAATAGCAACTGAACTTTAATCATAATGATACACCCACCTTTCCTTCATCGTTTAACCAGTTCCAATCCAAGCCGCTCAAAAGATTGTTGAACCTTTCCGCGGCTTTGTCACCTTTCAGCATACTCAGGAAGTCAATGCAAATGTCAAAACGGCAACCGATTAACGTGAGGCATACCTGAACAAAGATAGAAGAGGATGAATTTTGAGCAAGATGAATCCACAGCATAACGTCCAACCAAGCGATAGGAGGAATAAAAGAAATACCGCTCTCCAATAGCTTCCCTCGCCAACTGAACTACCCTCAGCTAGGTCTTTTGAGGCTTTTTGGACATTTCTATCGATGAAGGTGAACGATTCCGTGCTCCAAGAAATGAGATCGAGACATATAGGAGTGTCTAAAGATGTTTTAAACAGTTTGCCTACACCGTTTCGCTTCTTAGTCTAGATAATCAAAAAAAGTAACCAAGTTGTAAAGAAAAAGGTAGAATCCTCCCTTGAGTCGCATACCTCCTTGTTTGAAAAACATGGCTTCGAACAGGGTCCAGATTGTGAAATCGCGCATGTGAACATTTTCTTCCTCTCCCACTTCCTCAGCGCAATGAAGCAGGGCTGATCGATATTCCCGCGAGATCGAAAGTGTCCTGAATTGGAAAAATGCTTTGGTCTCGGGAAAATCAATTCGATAAGTAAATCAAATTTATGGATTTGTAATGAGCGTCAATGTATAATACAGCATAACTTACTCTACTGCATTCAACCTTTCGTGTTGAGTCAACTGTCTACATTTTTCAAAAATAACATGCATCTCTATCAACAGTTGGCGCACCACTGGATTAGAGTAAGCCAGTTGAAGAGCGGGAAGGTGCTCGCGGAAACCACCAAACGATCCAGATATCGGAGCTGAAATGAAGCACAATTATTCCGTTCTGGATTACAGACTCATAACTGAGCGTTCTTTGGGATCGTATTTATAAACAGGTGATGCTGCCACAAAGCCGGAGATAGACAGCAAGCTACGCTACACAATACAGATCCACGCTATCACCTCTTTTTGTTCTCCACCTCCACCAACAATATTTTGCTGTTGAATTCTGTTTGCCGTTACCAGTCCAGTATAACCGCGGCCTTAGTTATCTACAAATTATCAACTAACAAAGAAGAAAGGGCGGATAACACATGGGTTCCAATAACGGCGGAATCCCGGAAAGTAGATTATGTTTAAGAACGTCGGGCGAACCTAATGAAGCGAAAAAGGAAAATGGGACAAGAAATAAAGCCGACTACAAGGATCAAGGCGGACAAGAAACCTCTAAAACAAGAACCTCTAACAACCTTCCAAGCGTTATAAAACTTGTTCATATGCCCTTACTAGATTATAGCTCACACCTGAATCCTGAAAAATTGAAGGGTTTCTCACAAATAACTCTTCATGAGACCATTTTCGTATACTTCAGAACAGGGCAATTTGCGAAGTCGAAATGATAGTTGTACAACACAGTGGAGGAAGAAATGGTATTGAAACCTTTCACCCACCCTTCTTGTCATCTTTCGACGTTGTAGTGCTCACAGCACAGATTATATTCGCATCTGTGGTCGCATATGCATAGTAGGTGGCATCAGGAGCCGTCACCATCTCATAGAAGTAACTTAAAAATCAGAATAAATTTCAAAATAACCCTTTTCGCTAAACTCAATGATACTCAATAAATTCCTCAACAACAATGGTCCACCTTAAATGGTGAACAGTTTGTAGAGGTGTCGGCTATGAGAAATACAACACCAAACAACAACACAAAAACGATAATACAATATGCGTTCAATTTTCCCAAAGTTTGCCGAATAATCAAATATTTAACAATGTTTCGGCAGCATATAAAGTACAAGAGTGGGACGATTTGCTGTTACATTAGGAATGTCTTTGCATTTACTTCTGCAGGCCTCAAATTTACCAAATCACTCCATCCGGTATAAAAGAATTCAAGAAACTAATTAGAGTAAGAAAAATCAGAGGAAATCAGAAAACAAAGTAAGACGAACGCATCTTAAGATAGCAGAAATTCAAAAGGAAATTGGCAGTGGAGCGCGAGCTCTAATTGTAGCGCGGCCTAAAATTGTCTTACACCCTGGCGACAGCACTCCTATCACACCAAATGTTCCTGTTACCCTTTGTGGAAGCAGTGGGTGAATTAGCAAAGACTCTATTCTTCCTTTTTTGAGTGACTCATACCCTGAAAACTTCTGGATCACAAAGGTATCTTGCGAAAAGGGCTTATTACCAGAGAAAAAGGGGTCGTAGCGACAGGGAAGGGGAAGGGTTATGCAAGAAAGCAGTTAAAGATCTCATTGGGTTTCTGAGCTGAGCCATACTTATATGCAGCTTTGAAGCTGTTTGAAGGTGGATAGCTGTTGGGATTGCGTGTCTGGGAAAGATTCCGAGAAAGAAGGGCTGCCTTCAGTGGTGTTGTCCTGGGAGGTGAATATTCGAACCAAGTCAACTGTGTCACCCACTTCGTTCTTACCAAACATATGTTTCCATCAATCGGACGTCAGTAACGTCTCCATTGACATCCATAGTGGACCAGTGGAAGTAAGTGCTCCATCCCCTTTCGCTAATAGCGAAGCGCATTACTTTCCTCGTTCAATGCGATCAAATACCCAACTAAGTGAGATTTTCGTGGTCTCAAGTAATGAGTGGCAGATTTGTTTGGGAGTGATCCCGTACGGAGGTAGAAAACTCACAAATTTCCACATTTATTGCTGAATTTTTTATTCAGATTTTTCCACTGAATCACTCAAAGCATCCAAATTACTCTGCTGCTCCTATTCGTCTTGAACGATTCACGTAAAGAGGCAGTCGAGGTTGATGCTTTCGGAGGTGGTGTGGTTATAAGTGGCCGACTCAAAAGCATGGTCAGGATACCGAATCCCGCACCTATATCCGCCTAGGCCAAACAAGCCTTCCATCCCCCCAGGGTTGGTTAATTGGTACCAGACTTGTCTGGGAGGATAAAAGCACTGAATTGTACATCGACTGGCTACCGCAAATCATTGTATAGGCCAAATACGCTTTCAATACACCACTACGATTCTGAATAGAAGCCGTGTGGGCTGGAGCGCCCCAAAAGCGGGTTGGACCTACTTACGCATGATTGCTTCTTTGATCTTGAAAGCTATGAATGGTTATGTATTTGGGGTTGATTTTTATTAGTTAAGCAAAAATGCAAACGCAAAAAGATGGAAATAGATTACTGGTTAAGTAAATGCATGGAAAGGATGCATAACGTAGCATGTACGATGGATGCCGTAGAGGGTTTCTCTTGGTCCTAGCTTTTTTCATCCTTCTTCTCTTCATTTTTCTTTGTCTCTTATTCTAATTTTCCAAGCGTTTCTATTATTATCTCAAGAAAAGTGTGCCGTTGTGTCTTAGAAATATCATTTCCACACGTATGAAAGAATTGAATGTGTGGGAACACATTAAGAGCTTTTTCCAAGCCAGTTGAACAACCCTTCAAGGCTCATTCCCTCCGAGAATGTCTGGAATGTACAATCGAATTAAGCTCAATTTCTATTCGAGCCGTCACGAACCAGCGTACACCATTGAAAGCTAGCCTAATATGTCCATCACATGTTGCGATTCGAACTGAATTGAATGCATGGCGTGTACCAGAACGAAACTGATTGGCACCCAAGGTTCTCTCCATGATCTTACATATAAAGGATGCGTATTTAAAATACTTCATTACCTATGGATTAATTTCCTTGCCACATTCTACAGGTAGATAAACCGACCTAGAGGATAAAGTCTTGGATCGTTAAAAGCACAGTTCACGATAATTTTGAGGTACCTTTTTTTGGTAGAAAAAAGGAAGTGTTGTTGTAGAGGAGGATATCGACGGCGAAGAAAGCGAGAGAATCCGCTTTCTTCAAAGCTTCTCACAAGTAGAGGAAGTGGAGGTTGTACGAGATCATCGTGACGGTAATGGCATGTAAGGGGTGTTTGGACGAAATTTATCATGCTCTCATTGCTTAAAGAGATGACTACATCAAGCCGAAATTGTCGAAAACTGCCTACCACACTGTCGCCATGGGTTATGACAAGTTGTTTGAACTTCCTACATGGGAGTCTCTTGAAATAGTGGAGCCTCTACTAAGCCGTTGAAACTCGTCCACGATGAGTGTGGTATTCACACGATACAATCTCCGGCCCCTTATTATGCCCTATCCATGACATTTTTCGACTTTATAACGGCAGATATGGTTTAAGGAAAAGCCTCGACTTCATACTATAGGGGAATCTAAGAAACCACTTTTATCGTGAACTGTGCCTTTAGTTAACTCCGTCAGAGGGATACGCCCACGCATTCGACTTCCATTCTGAATCTTAGTGGCATGTTGAATGCTTATGTGGCCAACACAGTAACTCATGGTGGCCAGCCGACATACAAGTCAGGGTTTTTATTGTCCCAGACAAGCCTGGTACCAATAAGCTGACCCTGGAAAGATGGAAGTTTGGTTGACCTAGGCGGATATCGTTCCGAGATTCGAACCCTTGACCGTGCGTGTGACATAGTGTGCCACTTGTCACCACACCACCTTCCAACAGAATAAAAACTCCTTCGAAACAGGTAGTTCACAGGCTGAAATCTTTGCAAAGTACTCTTGCATAAGGGTCCAAATCTGATCTTTTTTGATCTTTGATCTTTTTTCCCGCTCTGTGGCCAATGAAACTGTTCATTCTCTATATATATTACAACGGTAAGTATGACTTCATTGAAGAGGAGATTCGAGGACGAATGCTGCTATGCTCGAAGTCATGGGCTGACGAGCCTGGACCTTTCTCGAACCTTCGTGTCAAGGTATAACGCCGTGACATACGCATCAGAAATATAAACGAGCTACGATGATTGAGAGCCTTTATATTTATTCCAAATACACACAGTTTCAGGGTTTCGGCTATTATAGCCCACCGGATTCATGGGGGATCCTCATGGAACCAACAATTAAATTAAACTTTGCGGTGTTTTAAGTTCACACAACTGACATCATGTGCTCAGAGCGTAGGCGGTTATACAGAATGGTTGAGCAATGTAGTATAACCACCAATGATGGATCATAGATGCGAAGAGCTGAATTTCTAAAGAGAAGATTCGAAACCGCTTCCACGATCGGATGACGTGCTGTTCCCGGTCAGTGGTGCAGCCAACAACTCAGGATTGTGTTCCATTACCCGGGCGATCTGAAATTTCGTGAATCATCTGATTTCTGAGATTCGATAAAGTAAGTAGTTTGCAAAAAGGCAGCTATTTATGTTCGAATTTGTGATTTACTGGCCATTACCAAGATATTCTAAGAGGTCAAGGTTAAACCAGTCAAAATCCAATCAACTAGTCGTGGTCCATGGCGATATTAGTCAAATTTCGGCATTTTTGTTTGGCTTACTGTAGCCAGCTTTTTGCGCATTTGAAAGCCCTTCTGAATACCCCTTCCATAGCATATCGGTCATGGTGATCTCGCGCCACATATTTTCTACTACTTCATTATAAATATTTTGCGAAATGTGCGGATTTTCCGGGTGGCAGTATTTCTTCTCGAATTCCCGCGGCAACCGGCAGTGGTTCGGCAGCGCTTGAGGTATGACTTCAAGAAGAATTCAGACTTTTCCCTTTGATGTGCGCTACTGCGTGCGATCGGCTGCGGCGAGCGGGGCGCGATTTTCAGGAAGAAGCACCCACCTCGTATTCCCTCGCTTCCTTCTCCAACATTCTCTCAACATTTCCCCTTTCCAGCTTTAAAGGCTTCCTCATGATTATTGTGAACTGTGCCTTTTATTAAGATAAGGTGATGAAAACGTGCAAGTAAATGGAGAGGATATGCATTCCCAAGTAAGTATGGATGGAAATAGATAAAAATTACTTCTTCATTCATAAGACTATTTCATTTGTCCGAATCATGTTTTCAGTCAGTTCTGAGGTGGTCAAGATAAACCAAGGAATTATCTTCAGCTTTTTTCGAGGTCCAGAATCTCTTGTTCCCCTTGAAATTTAATTACTCCTACAATTCATAACCCTTTTGAAAAGTTTTTTTCCCAAACGATTCGAAGACCTGCTTAACGATAATCCTGAGGTATCCAGTTCAAGTAAAATAATGAAGGTTTTGGTGCAGTGTAGTGCATAAGCGACGAAGAAAGTGCGAAAAATGGTGGATTTTGTGAAAGACAATGCTTCAAAAAATAGTAAGAAGGGGGATTGTATGAGATCAGGCGTCTGCAACTGTCTGGGGGTCTCACACGTAAGCGTACTATTTGTTGGCGTCCAAACCCCTCCCTGTGAGGGGTGCAGGCTCAATGAAGTCGCCATAACACGGCCACTTTTAGGTGTGTATGTCGCCCAGGCTGGTTTGAAGCCCTTATGGGGTCCTAACTCAGCCGTTTTTCAGCCCGGCAATGTTGCAAATATTACTCTTGAAGGACACAGGGTCATCCAGGGAAAGTTTCACAACCATTTTATCGCGAAGTGGGTCTTCTAAAAGGTGCCACAGAGTATATGAAAATCCCCCCTCCACTCCGTTCCAAAAGACCATTGACAGATTAAAGAATATCTCGGAATGATGTTCATGCCCAAAGGGGAGCAACATCAAACTTTGGTATGAGAAAGATCATTGATAGCACTGGCTCAGCTAATTTTTCTCCTTTGCGTCGATTAATTTCAACGTAACAATTTGGAGTATTCTGGAGAATTAGCAGAGAACGAACCAGCCTATCCATATACTCTTCAACATCACGCAGACGACAATCCTTCAAGGCTATTTCTGCGTGTAGCTTTTCAAGGAGATCCAGGAGATCTTGATGTTGACATGCTGTTTCTTCATTTACTTGCTTCTAAAACATGTAAAAGGTTCTTCAAGAATTTGGTCAATTGATAAAATAAAGCTGGATAAAATTGGTGGTGGCGAAGGGATTGCCTGTGCAGACATTCCTGCATACCCGCTATTTCGATGGCCACTAGGTGACTTACCGTGAGTCCATTTGAACCACCAAAACCAGACGACGCTTCGCTCTCCATGCTATTAGATCGTTGAAATGATTCAGTTGTGGATGCCTTCAAATGCCTTTATTTAAAAAAATACTTTCCCAAAAAAATCAAAATTTTGGAACGAACCGTTGAGGAATTGGGAATGTTCTCGGTAAACTGTACATCCGTGTGAGCATCTGTTCGTACGGGAAATATAAATTCTTCATCGAAATCGATTCCACTCATTACTGACATCGATCGAGAGAGATGTCCAGAGCTGAAGCCGTAGGAAATGGATTATTTACACCATTATTTTTGCGCTTCACTCAAAAAAAAAAAAACAAGTTTGTCAACGAAAAGTGACAGGTGTCCTCATTTGAATATGCCTCTATTCTGCTCCGTTTCCGACAGTGAGTCAATGTCCCCTCATGGAACTCATGTTCCTCGGCCACCCCTCAGCTACATTTCTCCATCGACCCCTCGTGACTATTGGGATAAAAGTGGAAGCAAGTAAAGCGGAAGTACTGAAATTCCAATAAGGATATATGGTAGGAGCCACGATCCATTTATGGCAAATGGCAATTTTTGGCTAGTTGCCTCGCCGCGCGGCATACGGTTTGACGACCCTATGAAAATTTCTTTCTCAATAGATAACGAGGCTTCCATGTGTATTAGACAACATTGTTAAAACTGATTTGAACGTAGGTTTTTCTTTGATACTTTAACGATAAAAGAATATAGGATTAAGTCTCTGGGCGTTAAAAACAATCCTGTCTGAGGGATGCGTCCCGCATTCGACTTCCATTCCGATTCTTAGTGACGTATTGGATGTATATATGGCCCATGCCATGATCTGTGTTGGCTACCCGATGAACAAGTCATTGATTTTATCTTCCCAGACGAGTCTGGTACCAATTAAGCGACCCATGAGGGATAGAAAGCTCGTTTGGTACAAGCGAGGATAGAAAGCTCGGTTGGTATAAGCGAATACCCATTCGGAATTCGAACTCGTGACAATGCGTGTGTGATGTGCGCCACTTGCCACCACATCACCTCCGCCCCCTACTTATGAGAAACCAAAAAAATCTTTTCGAGAAGGTACCTTTAGCGAGCGATTACGCTCGCTTCACCTGACTGTTTATAAACAAGCTCTGCACAAAATAGAATTCAAAAGAAATGTGTTATACTGAAAATTCTCATTTTTAAATCCGCAATTTTGAATTTAAAGTACAAAAAACTCTCAAAACCAGCAAACCTCTTTCGAGACCTAGAAATAAGGGCCCATAAATCTCAAGCACATTAGAGATGTTCAGACAATTGTTTTTCAATATCAAAAAGTCTCTATCAAAATATTCGCCTCAAAGACCGTTACCATTATAGATTCGTTAGAAGAAATTCATACGTAGACGTCATCACTGTTTGATTCGGAGATTGCTTTCAAAGAAAAAAAAGTTTTCAGGTCAGGGTTCCTATCTTTTCGAAAACGTTGCTTCTGTTCAGCAAACAGAAAGGTAGCATTAATTTGGCAAACACAATTTGGTTCTTATGACTGCAATGGAAGGGTAAATGGAAAAAGTCGGTTAGTTGCATTTGCAATATGCTTTTAACCTATTTACATCCCACCTCGAACCCTCTCTCGCCATCGTCTCAGCCCGTAATATCGGCCCCCCACTCTGTCATACCTCAAAATCACCCTAGAAGAAAGTGAAGTATAGAACATGGTTACATAAGAGTTAACCGAACCGTTGCCGCTGATTCCTGCTGCAAAACTAAACTGAAGAACGAAAAGAGGCCCAAAACTAGAATCAAAGTAATTAATTAATTAATAGAGTTTTTGCAGTCTCTACACATTCGGCCCTTTGTTAAAGATAAGTCTTTCTCGTTGTGCTCTTGGAGATCTGCTTCTTTGCTGGAATCGTCGTTTCTGTTCGTTTTAGTTCTCTGATGGAATATGATCCAATTTCCATGGGAAAGAGGTTCCCGAAATACTCAACTGTACTGCTTTCGGAACTAAATTATTCAGTCTAGTTGGTCAGAACGAGCCGAGGGGGTCAGTTGGAAGAGAACAGCTGAAGGACTCTTCTATAAATACTTGTTCAAAAGCTGCCTGGGACATCCAAATCGCCCTCTATCAAATATCAAAGGTGATTCATGATATAACTTTGTGCTTGATACCATATCTTTGAGAATCTGCTTTTAGCAATTCAGAATGGCGGCGACTGAGTAGATGGTATTGGATGAAGACCACTAGTTCTTCATTCTTTCAACTGAGAGAATAAAGACGACATCGGGATAAGAGCGCGGTCTCCTCAAAGGACAAGTACGGTTCGAGCCCCGTCCGAGACTGAAGTTGTGTCCATAAATCGCTAACTCTGTGAGAAACGACACCATTCGCTTACAAATGTCGAAAAGAAAAATAAACTGACGCCTGAATCGATGACTATTCTTTTCCAGGACCCATCAACACCATTATTTTCCATACCTACCGATGGATGCCCTCTAATATGCTTAACAGACTTACCCCCAAAAATTAATCTCTCATAGCTTCAAGATTTGTTTGCTGTTTATCTATCTCAGTGTTCATGCTGTAACAAAGCCAGTTTTAGCACACATCCGCAATGACGTCATCCTTATTATATTCCATCTCAGTACAAGATTTTTTGGTTCACCCTGACACCCTTTTTGGGGTCTTCTCCCGTCCTTTATAATTCCATCATGAGTCCTGAATGGTTTGGGTTTGAATGAGCATTTGGATTATACAAAAAGTTTCATGCCTATGTTCGGTTCAGTGTTTCATCTTCACAGACGAATCTGGTACCAGTCAAACGCTTCCGAGGATTGGAGGGCCTCATGGTATGAGAGGGTTCGAGGAATGATCTCCCTAACTATCAGAAGCTACCAAATCCACCGCACATAGTGAATACCCACTGAAGGATGAATCTTAGAACGAGCAGACATGTCTCTCGAAGAAGCTGAGGAGGCAATCTTGAAAGCCGAATTATTGGGTTTGGATGAGTAGAATTGGAGGAAAATAGAGAGAGAAAACAAAGTCAGAAACAATTTGGAACCAGGTCATCTGGAATGAATGGACGCGAAATGAGCACTCTCTCTCAAAACGATAGAAACCAATGGGCAAAAGCGATATTTTTCTGTGGCGGATCGTAAAAAGACACATCAAGGCTTTGTTACCCTGCTCCTATAGCGAGCTCTAATTAACTCTTGCTGAAAGATGGCAAATGGGAAGAATTACAAGACCTCGAGAACGTGATGAATTTTCAGCGGAGTTGAAAAGTTGCAAATGCCAACTCAATTCCAATGGTCCTAGGCCGTTCCTGGTTCTAGTTTTCAGAAGACTGGCTGAAATCTGATTGGCTTAGGATCACTGAAGAAATAAGTGCTCATCTCTTGGGTTCAACCGAATTTTTCCTTTGAAGTTCGCTTTACAACCAATTCTTTTCAGTAGAACCGCAGAAGTACTTGAACAGGCTGTACAAAATCTATTTTAGAGTACGCAGGGTCCGACTGGTCCTCTCACCGACCTGGATGATTCAGACACGGGAAAGTCGCCCCTGGAAAACCAGAAGGCCTCATCAGCCTGGACCCATGCCTGCATGCAAGATTTAGTCCCCAGAGCATGAATAAGTACACTAGCGAACCCCCTGCCCTCCTCCCTTCTCTCAAATACTCCATTTTCTCCGTCACCCATAACAAAATGACCCACAAAATGACTAACCCGGAGTGAAAGCAGTACTAGTCTTATCAATTATTCATTATTTACATCAAGAACTGTGCATAACAAGACATAAACAACAACAAGCCTAATTGAACCCATAATTTCAGAGTGAATAAGGCTTTTCCTTTGTGATTGCTTCTCCTCTAAAAAGGATATTGCTCCACGTAAAAAATCACTCACATAAATTCTTCAGGACGTTTTTGTTTGCCACCGATCTTCATCTTCTTCTTTACTGTGGTCAACATTTCGTCTGTAAGGAAAGGATTACAGTATTAATGGTACTAAAACGGTTTACAAGCCATAATAATGAGGTAGTCACAGTTATAAAATAGGTTGTTCCCAAAAAAATAGCGAAAAAATGAAGTAATGTCAAGTAGACGAAAGAGGCTTGATCTCAATCAAAGTTGCGAAAATGAATCAAATGCTTGCTTGCGTTAACCTGGAGGGAGGTTAAGGAGTAATACCTTTTCAGATTATAGCGGAGTCCTGATCAAAGTCATTCTTCTACCTTCTTGAATATTCGTAATGCCAAATCATCCATTAAACAGTTGTTCAAGCCACTGAATACGTCCCAAAGGATCTGGACAAATAACCCTACTGCCATTTCCTTGAAAAAATTCTTCAAGCTTTGCATGGGTTTGGGTTTGACTATTGTTTATTTCAATGGCCTTACGTTTGGACATGATCGTCTTCTTCAGAAGTCTGATCAAACTTGACACGGAATGAGGAGGGGGACTCTTAGTGTAAGGGATAAGAGCACGGTACCCGGATAGCACAATTGCGGGGTCCTGCCCGGGGTCGAAGTTTTGTCCACAGCTCGCTAATCATGTGAGCTCTGCGCTTCATTGCCCAAGCTAATCCCCTTTAGCAAATCCGAAACTCATTCAAGAATTTCCCATATAGTGACGCACCCTTCAGAGTCCCACACTTGAGCATGTGTTCGGAATTTGCGCTGCTGTCATCTTATAGTTACGATTGTAGAGAAGATCGCCACGATCCTACTGAGCCA